TTCTCTTCCTCCTTTCCTCCTCCTCCTCCTCCTTCTCCTCCTCCTCCTCCAACTCCTCCTCCTCGTCCTCCTCCTTTTCCTTGGCCTCTTCCTCCTGCTCCTCCTCCTCCTCCTCCTGCTCCTCCTCCTCCTCCTCTTCGCCTCCTCCTCTTCCTCCTCCTCCTTCTCCTCTCTTCTTCCGCCTGCTCATCATCATCATCCTCAGCCCCATCATCATCACCATCATCAGCATCTTCATCATCAGCATCATCATCATCATCGTCATCATCATCATCATCTTTTCTTCTTCGTTATCATCATCCTCATCATCATCCGCAGCCTCATCATCATCACCATCATCAGCATCATCAACAGCATCACCATCATCATCCTCATCCTCATCCTCCTCATCATCTGCGTCATCATTAGCATCATCTGCATCAACATCACCATTTTCATCATCCTCATGACCATCATCAGCCTCCTTATCCTACTACTACTGCTACGACTTCTTCTCCTCCTCCTTGTCGGTCGCCCGCCGGCCCAGGTGGACACGAGGATGGTAGACCTGAGAGAATGACCGGCTGCATGGCGTCCAGGTTGGAAGAAGGAAAAGGGCATGTCATGCGCAAGGAGATGCTGCGCAGTAAAGCAGTATTGCAGTTTGAAAGGCTTAATTGAAAGACCTGACATGAGGAAGCTGAAGCTCGAAATTTAAAGAAACTAAAAGTAGAACAAGGCTGTTACACAAAGAAAGCACTGTCAGCGAAGTTGCGGCACAAACTTTTCAGCAGCGTGATGGACCTGCACCAACGGCTTTCTTTGAAGCAAATCACCCTGTACGTCTGCGCCGTTTCCGCGGCGGCTCAGCAGCAGTTGTTCGACGCCCGGTACGCTTGCGAGCTTTTGGGACATCATTGAGCAGTAATGAGTCCGAAGGGAATGTCGGCAGCGCCAAGCTGCGAAGGAACGTCGAATGCTCGCACTGGGCATGCATTGTTGCGGCAGCACAAGAACAAAGGAGGGACGTCGGCCGCGCCCGCACATACACAACATCTTCAAAGTGAAAGCGAAGGGCCTGCAATGAAAGATTGCCGGAATCGTCAAACAACTGAGGCAAACTGTTTGCATGCAGCAGCGTCGGCTGAAGAAGGAACCGCAAGATTCCCTGCGCCAAGCTACGATTCACCGGCGATGTGGCGGCAGTGGCTGCACAGGCAACCCACGAATGATCTGTGGACTGTTGAAGGACATAGCACGAGTTCGGTGGCAACTTGGAGAAGTTGGCTGCTGTAGTGCGCCCGGCTCGCGCTAAAGCCGCACCATTGACTAACTGAGGGTCCTGTCCGGCCGGCTGAAAAGACAAAGGCGAAGCATCCATCCAAGAGTACCAGTCTTGCCAATGTTGTGTGTAGAGCCTTTGTAGGACGCACAAGCAATGGTTGATGTCTCCACGGCCACCGAGAGAAGCCAATTCCGTTTGCCACGCGCCATGCACAGCTTCTGCGGGCTCACTGCCGCTGCCCGATCCGGGTATAATGCCATCAAAGCCAACCCAGAAACTCACATAAATAAGATCCTGTGGGCCAGCGGCTTGCTCGGAAAAGATAGATGGCAAAGGCCGCTCGTATGATTGCAACCAATCGGCTAGAATCGGTTCATCCATGCGTCGCAAAGAAGCCAGGAAAGCTTTCCAGAGCCAGCTAAACAGAGGCAATGTCGGGATGAACCGCAGCAGCGACACCACAGTCAAGGCATAGTGCAAATGCTTTTTCACATGTTTTCCTTTGTGAAGAACAACCTGACGGCACTTGGACCGCATGACCGTGTGAGATTTTTCTTTGAAATGGAAAAAAATCATCACATGCCCGAGAGTGTGGGAAGACTTCTCGACGAGCTTCTTCGGCGCTGGGGTGAAAGTCCTTGTGGATTTGAAGGCTTCGCTGCTCGGGCAGAGGCAAGCGGCTCGGCTGGCGTTCTGCCCACAAGTCGCAACAGGTCCGAAAAAAGGCGGCAATAGTTGGGCTTTGTTTCGGCGTGAAAAATTGCCTGCGCAACGGGCATGCCATGCGACGTCCAAGCACGGCTTTGAGTCCGAGAGCCTTTGCCAAGTTTGGGCAAGCGCGTCTTGCGCAGCTGGTCCTTGACCAATAAGCTGACTGTGGCCACGCCCATTCCGCGGGTCAACACCTTCATCTTGGTGTCCACAGAAAGGGCGACATCTAGACCAGTGTAACGGTCAAAGGTGTTCAGCGTCCCGGGAGAAGCGAAAAGGATACAGACTTCCGTATCCGTGATGATTGGGTCCCGCAGAAGAAACAATGCATCGATTTGCTTTGGAAGGCTTCGTGGCAACTGACTAACTTCCAAAGCAACCGCTGCCACAACAGACTTGTCTTTGTCGAGGGCATCCTTGTTTTTGCGGCTGTTGTTTCTCAACCAATTGGCAAGCTGGGTGTTGTCAGGCAATGATGCATCGGCACAGCCTGCAGCTAGAAGGGCCACGCGCAAATTCTTGGCCCCACGGCCACCTCCGGAGAGGAAGCGGGCAGCAATTTCGCGCTGCTTTTCGTTGAAGATTTTCCCTGACGCACAAGGTACAGCACCGTCATGCCCGGTGTGTTCACCAGATGCCTGAACGACCAAAGTTCCAGGGCTGTACAAACTCTTGCTGAGAATGTAGTGGGTTCGCCAGCAATGGGTGCACAGTTCGCTTTCTACGCAGCGAACCTCACTCAAAATGCGTTCTTTGTTTTGCCACAAAGTCCGCACGGCCACTCTGGTGTCAGCCCATTCAGGTCTGCGGCGCAGGTGCTGCAAAAGCTGCTGGTTGGACATCAAAGGAGACCCAAGCTCCACCCGAGAAATGTCGCGCCACTGGATGGCTTGCTTCTTCTTCCTTGGTTTGGCTGGTTGATTTGGGTGGGCACTTGCACCGCCACGCGCAACTTGTGGAGACGGTTTTGCAACACGAGGCACTGCACTTTGCAAAGGTTGAAGCTCTTGCTCCCCGGAGCCCACTGCTGTGTCTTTGCTTCCACACACACCCGAATCAACGTCCACGCACCCTCCACGGCAGGTGCCTAGAAAAGCTGCATGATCAACATGTGAACGTTTTCCGAAATGGGAAAGTGGCACCCGGTGTTTCCGCAACCAATCCAAACAACCAGGAGACAGTGACCCGACATGATATTTGCGGAATCGCGCAGTACCACCGGAGCTGCACAGCTCCCCAAGCCCAAGGTCTTTCAGCTGCAACCACAAATCAGCGATGCGTTGGCGGGCCAGATCCGCCGCGTTGCAGGAGCCTTTCTCGATACTTCGTTTCAATGCCAGGTCTGCGCAAAAAATGTGTTCCAAGGTGATGACAGAGCCAGGCGCTCCCCGCAAAATGCGGAGCAGCAATGGGAGTAAATCATCCTCCGCGTCGCGGAAGTCGCGCCGACGGTGCAACCAAGTTTGCTCTTTGGAAGTGACGCTGAGGATTGCCTGGCCATAAAGATACCGCTTCAGCATGAATTGGACACTCGCAATGAAACACTCGTTGGACACAGTCGTGGGAAACTCATCCGGCAAATCACGCCCCAACGCACTTGGCCACAAATTCGCCACCAGGTGGTTTGTCAGCACGGCGGTGCCCAGCCAATACATGGCCTTGGGCATGGCCTCCCGAAAGACCGTGTGCACGGAATCTTTGCGAGCAAACAAGCGGCCAATCTCTTCAAGCTCAACAATGACCGCACGCTGTGCATGTGTAGTTTCAAAGACAAAGTCGGCTGAAGTGGTAATATGAGGCCCAAACCGCCGGATGATAGCACTAAAAAGCTGCTCGAGAATAGGCACAGTGACATCTTGCAAGAAGCCATTCCAAGACTGCTTGCCCATATTCAAACGAGCTCCAAAGGAAAAGAGAAAGCGCTGCACCAATCCAAGTGGTTTGGTTGCTGCCACTGGCGCCCACCAATTAGAAAGAAACAGTTCCTGCTGCAAAAAATTATGTGAACATTTGTTTCTTTCAAAGTCATGCCAACTGGTTCTGGCACAGGGGCTGTTGGATCAGGAACCTTGTGCTTCAACACTTTTTGGCGGTCAACTTGGGTGCTGAAGCTAAAAGAGCCACCGTGGGCAGCATTGAGAAACAGTTGGAAATCAATGAACTTGGATGGGTCAGTGGCTCCACCGTTGGCAAAAGCAGGGCAAAGGCAGGCGCCAGCTTCATCCGAATGTATTGCCAGATATCCGTCACAGAAACGAAGCTTTTCGCGAGCCGCTGCGGAAGTGCTGCCCTGTTGCAGGTGAAACTGGTCGCCAGGTGAGCCCACGGTGAAAGCTGTGTTCTGGTGCAACGCCCTCTCCACAGCTTCGACGACTGGCATCATCGCTGGTGACTTCCCTTCAGCGACGTTTGCAGTGCCAACCATCCAATACCGATTCTTGGTATGATACCGCTCAGTGAGTTGCACGCCGGCCCGCTTGTGCACCACTGCATTTCCGAAACTTTGCACTAGATCGGTCCAGAATACCAGTGGAATAGCCGTGGCTCGGGCTGTGGCTTCAAGCAGGACGGCCAAAGGGTAGACCATGGTGTCTCCGATCCATGGCACGACTTCAAGAGCAGCGTGACTGTTCACATTGTCCAAGCAAAGGTCAGAGACTTGCGCCTGGTAATGCTCCGCGATCTTGTCCAGAGTGACCTCCGGGTCGGCTGAGAAGAGGGGAAGTTCAGAGAGAAAAGCACGACAATCTCCTGCGTTCTCAAACAATTCAAGAAGATGCAGGGCATGGTCACCCAATGCATCATGGCCATGGCTTTCAGGCAAAAATTGCGGCGGCATCTGCGGCTGGTGGATGGCAGAAGCAGTGGCTTGCAGCGTCTCAGTTGCACCTGTACCGTCCTGGCCAGGGAGCAAATCAAGCGGTGAACGTCAAAACAGCGCAAAAAAAAGGACAAAGCCGACAGGTGTGGTAACCAGGAAAAGCAGCCCCAAAAAATGAAACCGTTCTGGCCCATCTCCGTCAAAGAAGCCGACAATGGAGCGCTGAAATCCAACGCATCACGGCCATGACCTTCAGGCAAAATGTCCGGTGGCATGGAGCCCTGGGGCAGGCCAGACGCACGGGCTGGCTTTGTACCTTCTGCACTTGGATGCACCTGGTCGAGGGATCAAAGAAATCAATGAACGTTAAAAAACGGACAGGATTGGCGGCGGATCAAAGAAACTAAGCAAGGTCAAAAAACAATGCACAAAAATGAAGGGAAATGGACTAGCAAAACGTGTAGTCGAAAGATCCCACCTCGGTCGGAGAAGATGATCGTGGTGAAATAGCTTCTTGAACTCGTTCATACAAGAAATACCTCGCATGAGTCTGTAAGTGTGAAGGGTCAGTCGGAAAACGTTTGGGTGCATCTCCATCATTGTACTGCACCCACACGTCATCCGGCGCCAGCACAAATGCAACATAGTGACCACGGTGGTAGGAGTCCCCTCGATGCAGTACTGCTGCCCGGAGGCGATACACGTAGTTTGCACGTTCAAACTCAGGGGGGCGCAAACACAGCTGTGCGGTTCAGGGGCAGGCCAGGATCGGTTTCGCGAACGAGCTGTATGAGCGCAACGTCCCCCAAGTGCCATGATGAAACTTGATGCAACACACTTTTAACTTTGCAAAGTGGACATTCCAAACCTCCATCAACAATCTCCTCGCTGTGAGGTAAAAGCAAGTCTGTCAAGTCAAGGGCAGCAGTTTCATCAAAGGGTGGAAGAGAGATTAACGCCACTGGGTGTGACGCAAGCACGGGCTGACAGGTTGGAAGTTCAATCGGGCACTGGCACCGCACCTCATGGCTTCGTGTTTGCAAATATTCCACTGTCAAGATGTTCAAGACTCCGAGATCAATGGCAGCAAGCTTTCCCAAAAATTCCAAAGGGTCTTGCTGGCGATCAAAAGTAAGCTGCAAGCCGCGCAGTGGCTCGGTCCACACCGGCTCCAAATCAGTCGCCGATTCACGAGGAGAGCTCACAGCATGCGTTTCTCGCAAGGCACACTGCCAGCAAGAGCTTCCACATTGTCTGGTCTGCTGGTGTTGAGAGATGGAATTAACTATGGGCAAGCATGCAAACATGGACTGCAGCAAGCTAGCCAGCCAACAGGATGTGCCCGAGACGTTGGGAAACACGCCGCGGAAAGAGAAGCCTGCGACGGAGCACGACGAAACGGACGAGCGTGAAGTCCGACCCCCCACGATCTCCAACCCCGCCTGCGGTGTTGCCGTTGGAAACGTGAGCTGCTTTGTTGCGACACTTGCGTGAAATGGTCCACCGGAACGTGGTCAAGACTTGCGCTGCAGCAGTTCCAAAAGGAATGTGGGGGCTGAGGTCGGACACGCTGTGCGCAACCTCGCAAGTCTTGACCGTTCTATATGCCTTTGCAAACTTTAAAAGGCCTGCAGTACCAACGGCTGCAAGCTAAGCATGGACCAGCCTCGAGCTCCAGCGCCGGCGCCATGGCGCGGTTGTCGGAAATCTCGCGCAGCCTCACGATGTGCAAACGCAACAAAACCAAAGACTAAACACAGTCATCAGGACCGGACGCAGTCGTCACCAGAGAACGTCGCCACGCCCGGGTGG